TAATCTAAGGATAACACTCCTAAATAAAATAAAAATTCAATTGGGTCAAAGTTTAATATTTAAGTTAAAATCATATTTTAACGAAAATATAAAAAATCGTCATTTTTTAATAAAATTTTATTTTGGGTCAAATTAAAATTATGGGTCGAGCCCAATTAAAAAAAATTTTAAAACCATTTCAAAATTCAAATTCAAAACCATTTTGAAAACTTTGAAATTTGACCCATTTACAAATTATCAATAGGGCCCTCGAGATTTTAAAATTTGCATAACAACCCTTTATTCAAAATTTGCACAATAACCCCCTTATCCTGTAATTGCAGAACAGGTCCCCATTATTTCGATAATTGTACTGTAGTCCTTCATTTTAAAATTACAACCAGACCCTTATATCATATTGCAGCAAGGGGCGTGCAATTTCCCAAATTGCAGCTGAACCCCCGGCCTCCATTCACCCAGAACGCGATTATGAAACCCTAGGAAATTCACCACGCCGGCAATAATTTTCAGGAGCGGCGACCGCCTGCAATTATTTCAGTGGCGGCTTGGCTCAAGCGACGGAGGACAGCGGCCGCTTCCTGCCAGCATCCCATAGCGACGAGCGCCGCTGTCACAGAGCGCGACAGCGAGCCACCCATGCCGACGGTAACAATTGTCGCTAGCTCCTCCGCCATATATATATATACACATACATTATTAATTTTCCAATCCAAAATAATTTCCATTCAAAATTATTTATTTCCTTAATCGCTAAAACAAGGGAAAAAATTAACATTTAATTGTTCCAACATGTAAAATAATTTCTAACAAACACAAAGTAGGCTCTGATACCACTGTTGGGAATCTACTTAGCATGCGCAGCAGAAATTAAAATAATTTTCGATTTCGACCAAGAATCGCCTCTGTGTTTAGATAGAAATTGTGATAAGATTATACCTTTTCCAGCTCTGCAAACTTCTTTGCCATTCTTTTCGTTCCAGCAATCTTGATTCGCCACCCACAGCTGTCCAATTGTGCAGCCTCTAACGGTGATCCACACAAAGAACAAGATTGCAGCTACCAGGGTTTTCTCCTCTTGTGCTAGCAAGAATAATTATAAAAAACCATATGGATTGAAAACCTTAGTCATGTATATATATAAGCCCAAATGGGCCTGGCCCGGTCCAATATTTAATTAATCCATTTAATTAAATCCGGTCCGTGAATTAATTAATCCAATTAATTAGTTCGGGCCTATAAATAACTAAACCAATTAATTAATTTATCCAACGATTGTTAAATTAATTAATTGACAAATTGCAATCTTCCAATTCTCTTTTGTGTGCGACCCATCAGGTTTCCGATCACGATGCCTAAAGACGTGAAATATTATTTTGATCTAATCAAAATTGATAAATTAAAACACCCTTTTAATTTATCATCAATTCAAACTCGCCGTCCCAGATTGACATCTAGCAATGTGTCAGGGCAATACATGTGACGAAAAATGTCATGTGGTATGACAAAACCAAACTCGTTCGTTTACCGTGAAACTATAATCCCTTCGTCAATATGATCCGATCAATTACGAGATATGGAATTGTGTCAATCCCGAATATCGATCATATCTTTCATTCCACTATTAAGTCAATATATGTCGAAAACTCCTTTTCGACTTATGAGTATACATTGGCCAATGATTTCATCATCGACTTAATTGAATAAAAGACAGATCATAATCTCTTACTATCTAAGAGTGACGAATCCTCTATGGGTCATTTACAACCTTCATATGATTATTGACATACCCGAACGATGCCGTATTAGCAGCCCTTGGTGGAGCAACATCCAACACCGTTAAAGCATGACCGTCCTCAGATAAGGTACTATGACGATCTCAAGTCAAAAAGACCAATCCCACTATCGAACGTTAGAGATTAACCACTGACACTCAAATAGTTATCCATATGGAATCTCTAGACGGGTCTCCAATGTTTTGTTCTATAATAAAACATTCACGTATTCATTTAAGTGTCACTACACTTTAACTTGTGAGATCGGCTACTTACTTCATAAGTAAGAAATGCCACACGTGATAGTCTATCCGTAATAAAGATATCCGTATCTCGTTATTACTTACGACCACGGACGATTTAAAATTCAATTAGATGTAATTTGTATCTCACAACCACAACTTTTTGTGATTACCAAATTACGAAGATTTGAATTTACGGACTTTATTATTTATTTAATTGTTTATTAATTAAATAATAGATCTACCATTAAAATGTATTAATTATATATCAAAAGTATTTATATCAAAAGTTGATTGAACTTAGGGCATAATACTTACAGAAAAAGAGAGTGTGGATAGCAAATTAATCTATACCGATTCATCATAAACAAGCATGCCAAATCATTTAAGGCTATTGATGTCATTCATTACAATTTTCACTCATTTCAATTGATTGTTTAATTTGTTTTAATTTTTAGTAGAAGTGTTATTAAAATCTTAATATTGATTTATTTTAATTGGTGTAGGGTTTTTAATTATTTGAATAATATTATTTAACCTCATTGGGTTATAACCACATAGACTGGAGACATATTCGAGCGAGATTAAATAACATTTTTTTAATTATTGTTGAAATTTAGGGGTGAAGGATTCGTCAACAAATTATACATATTCTTTACATGTTCATAATTCATTGGAAGTCAAATTTTGAGTGTTCAACAAAGTAAGTGAAAGATATAAAAATGGTGTGGTCATGTTGTATCACTTTACAAGTGAGGAGCCACTGTCTGAATGTTCAATATTTGAATGATAAAATATTACACTACGTTGTTATAAAATTACGGGCAATTCACGTCTTATATCCTAGTTTTTTATATAATAAATAAACAATGAATTTCAGGATATGTAGTAAAATAAGAGTTTGTAAAAAGTTTGAATCTTACTAAATCCTTGTTTGAGTCTGGTTATTTAAAAATTTATTTTTCTGGTTATTTAAAAATTTATTTTTCTTAAATTCATTTTTAATAGTGCATTCTCCAATAAAACAATTTTACTGCAAACTCGGAAAAAAAATTAATTCTCCAAAAAATTACTATTATAATATTTATTCTTCCAAAAAATGAGGTTCAAACAAACCCCAAAATGTGTAATAAAAAAGATAAGATAACTTGTAAGTAATTATAAATTTTAATGAACTTGCATAAAAGTAAAATTATTATAAAATTAAAACAAGACCAAATATAATTTGATCTTTATGAAAAAATTCAAAATATATGTAGACAAAGGCAATCATTAGTTCCCAACGTAGGGTTAATGAAATCCAATATATAAATTCGTTAATAAAAGAATTGAAAAAAAAAATTGTGTCATTTAAGTTATATAAGAATTCCATAGTCCAAGAGTTAAGAATAACAACTTCCTTCATTACTAAAAATAGAATAATTGTTTAGAATAATGAAACAAATTATATTTGTCAAGAAATAATAAATTGTATGAATACGATCTTCATTGTATATCTTGATTAATTGGATCGTTTCTTTCTGGATACCTATACCAAACTTTTGTAAATTTGTTTCTGATCGTCCAGGAAGAGAATATCCTCTAATTCTACGAACATTTATAGAATATTCTTTTCTTGAGTATCATTCAAATTAGTTTTGCTGAAGAAAAAACAGAAAATAAAATATAATCAATATGCTAAAACTTTTAAGAAAAATTGTAGGTACGGTATCAAACATTTCATTTCGTAGTAAACTTGACTCCAAACATTTCAGAAATGCTCACCTATTGTCCAAATCGATGGTTTCCGTTAGTTGACTCTAAAAAATAATTTTGACCAAATTTACAAATGGCAAAATGGTAAATTAACTATTTTCTATATAAACTAATTTTTAAAAAAATAGAAATAAAGCCATCTTCTTCTTCCCACCCCAACCTACTTCTAAATCTTTCTTAAGAAAATCCATCCGGCCATCCACTATCCACCGCCAACATACCCACCATCGACAACCACCCACCTACCACTGTCGATCACTACTGCTACCTTAATTTAGATTGTGCCTTCATAATCTTCGCAAACTCTCTCTTCACACTGTGCCTTCATCATCATCACAAACTTCCTTTTCATCCCAACCTGAATTGAAGACAAGACAATTTCACCTAAATACATATCCTTCCCATTGAAACTAAAAAGTAACAATTTCAAAAAAAGTTTCAATTACAACCACTATCCATCACTGTTATCATCAACATCACTGCCTCAACCTACAACCCAACGCCACCTCAAAACTAGACATCACTAACGCCTCAAAACCAGCAACTTCCTCAAGCATTTGGAGATATTGAACCTTCAGCTCCCTCAAGCAATAGAACATTCTTGCTGTCGCCGCCGCCACCATCTAACTGCCACCTCTGCCATCGCTTTTCCTCATCAGTATTACCACTTTTATTCATTAGAACCACCACTTACACCACAACAATAAAAAAACCCCAAAATCAAATCTGATTTCAAAGTCAGCTTTGATTTTTAGATCTAAAGAAAAGAAATCTGTCACGCTCTCATTCTTCCTTTATTGGGTGGTAGTGGCGGTGACGTTTGATGGCCTGAATGCGCGATAGTGGTTGATTGCCTAGGTGGTGGACTATATTCTATTGGTAACTATCTAGTTGGACTTTAAGTGAGAATTTAAGAAAGATTTGACATAGTTGATATCACAAATGAAAAATCTGGGTCAATTTGTGTTAAATGAAAGGTTTGATACAATAGCTACTGCTTTCCCAAACTTTTATATTCGACAACCCTTGTTTCCAAATGCACGTAGTTGTATCCCATTAGAAAAAAGTAATTTATTATATTATAGAATGTTACAGAAAGATCTCGTCTTCTCTGCAATAATTTTTTATTATTATATTTAATTCTTTTTCGTGGTTGATGCTGACAGGCGGTCCCAAGGATAATTTTTCCAGAACGCCGCGAAAGTCCTAGAATCACCATCTTCTTCTATATATATCGTGACCTTCTCAACTACATCTCTTATCGAAAATTCGAAAGCCTTGATTCAGCCAATCCAAAAATATATAAATCCTCGTATTACAATTTAAGAAATTCATCAGATAAGATGTCTCTTATTCCAAGCTTTTTTGGCAACAGACGAAGCAACGTTTTCGATCCATTTTCTCTGGATATTTGGGATCCCTTTGAGGGATTCCCTTTCTCAAGCTCGGTAGCCAATTTCCCGAGCTCTGCTCGGGAAACCTCTGCGTTTGCTAATGCTCGCATAGACTGGAAAGAGACTCCAGAAGCCCACGTTTTTAAGGCTGATCTTCCAGGACTCAAGAAGGAAGAGGTTAAGGTGGAGGTTGAAGAAGGAGGAGTGCTTCAGATTAGTGGAGAGAGGAGCAAAGAGCAAGAGGAAAAAAACGACAAGTGGCATCGTGTGGAGAGAAGCGGTGGCAAGTTCCTTCGCCGGTTTAGGCTGCCGGAAAATGCCAAGACGGATCAGGTGAAGGCTAGCATGGAGAATGGTGTGCTTACTGTGTCCGTGCCGAAGGAGGAAGTGAAGAAGCCTGAGGTTAAATCCATTGAGATCTCTGGTTGATTATCCTTTTGCGTTTTGAGCCTGCTGTTGAGTTTATGCTGTCTGTCAGTCTGTAATTTGATAATGCCGAAGAACAGTGTTGAGTGTTTCATGTTTGGAAATAAATGTGGAAGTAATTTTGTGTTGTTCTTGTCAAGTGTTTTTAGCTATACGTTTGAAAATATTATGGTGAGTTTGAGGTTGAAAATATTGTGAAGTTCTTAATAAGTGTAGAAGTAAGTTTCTGTTTTTCTTGTCCATCTGCAAGTGTTTATAGCTGTCTTTTGATTACCACCTTTTATCTCATATTCAAAGTTACAGAATTTGTTTCTTGGAAAATTAATAAATTATAAGTTGATATTGTTGGAAAGTAGAGTGATGACTTGAAAGCAAAAATCGAACTTACGGCGTTACCGTGAATTGATCAGAGCGACCTTAATACAAAAATATCGAAGGAAAGAATACTGAAGACAAAGCCAAGTGAAATGGATGCAGAATTTGAGGTTATGAGAAAGATACAAAGCCTGTTGACTCTGATGCTTGCTTGATGGGAGAAATGGGTTGGGATCCTGCCTTGCCCACCTGAGTCCAATCCCTTCTTTTATGGTCGGAGGCCAGCCCCATGGGATAGGAAACTTGCCTCAATTGGTGCTTTCCCTCCTTCATCCCTTCGTTCCAATCCATCCAGACATATATGGCAACCCGTACTAATTGCCCTTGCACTGATACCACCTTGGCTTTTCAAATGGATGTGACCCCCCGACCTCCTATCGTCGCTCGACCCCGAAGGGCTGTTTTGTTTGAGTCGTATCCGTGCGCAGAAAAATCCTTGTTCCTCTTCTTCGAACCCTCCACTTGCTGGGACTGAACGAACTATCCGAGGCGTCGATGCGCAGGTGTGAGACGCGCATGCGGGTCTCAACGGTTGACGTAAGTGTGAAAGCGCTTTAACGAGCGAGATTTGAGGCTCTGGAAGAGCCCATTTTTGAAAGGATGCTAGCGCTCCATTTCAGTTCATATCTAAGTTCCTTTCCAACGAAAGAGTTAGTAGTAACGATGATTTGGTGAATGATGGATCCATGTGATTTCAGATAAGAGGAATTGAAGAACTGCTTGAAGCCTATATTCTCTTAGGCATTTCAGTAGTACGGATAGGTTGGAGAGAAGCACATTTCTCTTGGTGTATATACCCGACAAGGAATGTCTGTATTGAACCCAAAACGAGTGGGAGAGAATTGAAAGAAGAGGATGTGAAGCAATTTTGAGGAACAATTGGCTGAAATTTCTCTCGAGGATCGACGGGAAAACATCAAATTGAAAGAAGTCGAAGGAAGTAGTGCAAATCACAGAAATTCAAGATGGGAGACAGAAGGTACGGAAGGCAGTCGCTAAAACAAGTGCGGCAGCTATAGTTAATTTATCAACTTACAATTAACAAGGTTGTATTTTGATTAAATCAACATTGTAGAGAGTGAACATTTGGTAGATTTTTCTATAGTTAATTATAATGAATGCTTTGTTTCTTTTTCTTTTCCTTCTTTTTTGTGCTGGTCAACATGGATGAATTGGATCGACTCAGAGACCTGACAGAGGGCAATTTAGATCTCAAGAGATCAAGAATTAGGAAAACCCCCTCGAGGATGGAAAGATTTCGAGTGCAGCGATAGAACCTTTGATATACTGTGCATAGTTTTTGATATAGACAAGTAGTTTTATCTCTTAATTTTCAGATGTAGGAATTGTATATGACAAACAAGCAGCCGGTATATCTATTGAATGATGTTTTCTTTTTTCTCTCTCTTTTTTGATCGATAAATAAAATTGTGTTGTGCCAGGGGGTGTTTTTTTTCTTTTTGTTTATTTATGAGCTGGTTATGTTCATGCTCGGTTCATTTAACTTAGATTCTCTCTGTACTTCTGCTGATTCTGAATTTCATGAAGAATTTCTGTGACTTGGGCATTAAATTTAACCCGGTTTAGGCACAGCCATAACCCGTGGCCAAGGTGCCCTGGGTATTGCCATAGGAATCGACCTTGCCTATTGTGGGCACGGGAAGAATTTCTGTAACTTGGGCATTAAATTTAACCCGGTTTAGGCACGGCCGTAACCCGTGGCCAAGGGTCAGTAGCCCTGATAAATAGTCTTTGGCCGTGGCATATTGCCATAGCAATCGACCTAGCCTACCGTGGGCATGGCAAAAAATCTATTATAGCTCTTCAGCACTGGAACGAACAATGGAGAGAGTACATGATTTCATATACAACTTTTCAATACTCTCTCTCGCCTTGAGTCCCTTTCAGATTTAAGAAGACTTTTACACTCTTAGAGACTTGCCCAACGAGAGTAGGAAAAAGATTACAGGTGCATTCTAATTGATTCTTGAAATCAAACAGACCCTCCCATCATAAGGCAAAGAAATTTATACTAGTAATGAAAGGAAATTATTAGATTTTATGTGCAATAATAAAGAAATGAAAGAGAGAAATCAGCACAAGTATTTACATGGTCGACGGAGTGCTTACGTTCATGAGAACGAAGCGGATATAAATTTTATTTAGCACGAAAAAAAGAGTTGCAACATTATTATTTATACCGACCTTATTCTAGACCTATAAAGGCTTTAAGGTCCGTACAAAAAAATATCCATGTATCGTACCGCGGGGGCAACTCAGCGTCCCTAGCAACTAAATAATGAATTAAACTCGTCCAAGGTTGATGCCGTCACTTTGCTCCGACATCGGCCTATTTGATCTAGAGAACATGTGTTCTACTCTATATGAGACACATGCACAACAAAAATTAAGCTCAATCTACAAAATGCACAATAAGAATAGGCCAATCTAAAGTAGATCTAGGATGCTAAGAACATACATCCTCACCCTACTATATTTTGAGATGTCATATTGTGAAAAATATGGGAATTAATAGTAGTCGAGCTTTCTTCTCTATTATTTGTTAAAAACTTGAAATGGTTCAAGCAGTCAACACCTCAGTATAGTTAATACACTTATTTAGGTTGTTAAATGAAATTAATTGTAATAAATTTTGATGATTTATATGATTTTAATTAGGTGTAAATTTTGTTTGTTAGGTAAAACTTGGGGCAAATTGGTGAAATTCGAAGAAAGGAATGAAAAAGTGCAAAAACGAAAGAAATTCAAAAATCGTCCAATAGTTGATTCGGACCATAAAATGATGATTGAAGATTACATATGATCAATTGGAAGTCAAAATGAGTGAGATATATTTGAAATATTTTCACACATCAATTTCCAACCAAAAATGTCATATTCTGTATTTTCAGAGTAAGCTTGAAACCCATTTTTCGGATAATAAACATTTGAATTGGAAAATTTCTATTTTTATAAGATTTTTAATCCTTTGAGTTATCTTTTCAATGCACTTTGAATTACTTCAATTGGATATCGAAAGAAAAAGTTATGATCAAAATACTGAAAAGTTGCTCGGGATGAACCAAAGTGAACTGTCGGGCGAGTGCGGGCAATTCATGGCGCACACAATACCTTTTTTTACCAACTTGAGAGCCATTTGGTTCAATGGTGAGCGCGTGTTAGTTATGTCGGTGGGTGTTATTTTCGCAGATGAATCAGCAATTTCTTTTTATGATTCAATCTCTTTTTTAACTTAAATTGAAAGTAATTTTGACCTATTTTTGACTCTTATTAATACAAAATAGGGGTTACATATGAGAAAATTCTCTCTTGCCTCTTTATACACAATAATATCATGAAATTCATCAAGAATGAGAGGGTAGTTCATTATGAAGAGAAGATCAAGTCATAGCTAGGAATTGAAGCGAATTACATCAAGATTTTGAAGAATTCAACATTGGAATTGAGTATCAAGATTTCTTGTATTATTTCATGATTTGGGTGATGATTTTTCATTATTTTTCTTAATTTATTTAAAAGCATACTAGACTAGATCATTTTTGTATTGGATGGGATAAACCTATTGTTATTTATTTTAATTCAAGACTAATGATTTAGTATTTCTTGAGTTTTTTGATTAAATTTGTATATCTATTGCATTATTTAATTACTTGATCATCAATTAGATAATTGGTTGCTTGTTATGATGTTGGATGACTTACAATAAGTTTTAATGTCGAGAAAATTAACATATAGAGTTAGTTTATCTTGAAAAAGAAAATCAAATATATTAGCTTTCTCAATTATAAAAAATGCATGAATATGATTAAATTGCGTAATTAAGAATTAAAATAAATAGCAATAGACGAATTCAATTTCTAATACAATCATTCATAAATTGTTTAAAAAAATAAAACACCACCACCACCACCACTTATAGTTTTCTTGGGTTAATTTAGCATAAATAAAATCAACTCCTTTTTTGTGTTACGTATTTCAAATTCTATATATAACTAGTAAATTTGAATTGAATTTATTTCTTGTGTGACGACAACTCTCAACTCATCAATTCCATTATTTGTCAATGATTCCATACTCTTGCAAGATTTTATAGAACATATAGCAAGAAATTAGCCCTTGAAATATTTGTGCAACTCAGCAGATGTTGCATATGAAAATGGCACTGGTTGATAACAAAGAATAGTGTAAAACGACAAAAGAGATCGCAAATATATAATGGGATGAAGCAGTGGGATTAAATTACAATAAAGGACATTCTCACAATTACAATAGATAACAGAACAACAATACAACACGAACTACCAGTCCTCAATATACACAACCTGGCAGCTAATAAGAGTTCGTAGAGCAAAGTGTAAAAACAGATGCCAGAATGCCACCGTGACCGAATATAAAGTATTGAAAGGAGCCTAGATGTTTTCTTGAATGACCATTTTGTAGCCCCTGAGAAGATCTCATGAGGGTACATTGAAGTGAAAAAGCCAGGAGATGACAAATGCAAATACCATACAAGCTAACAAGAAGTTCAGAAATCGATGACCCTGCCAAAAGTTTCGAGATGCTGTTTGAGAAGCCGATGTCGTAGCTGTGGCAGCATTATCATTCGCTTCATTCCACTGCTCCATCAACTCAACCTCGTTCACACCAGAAACATTTCGTGCAATTGATCCGCATATCTCACAAGTTCTGCAAATCAAAATGTATAGAAACCTTAATGCATAGCATGACAAAATTGCTTCTAAAGAATGTGTGCATTATACCTAAAACTTGAACAGATAGTAACAGGGCTAACGAGGAGTGCAAGATTAGCCAAGTTGGTCAGAACTGCCAAATAAAGAGTAAATTTAACCAATAATCACTGAACTTTACACTTGATTACTACTTGCTCACTCATCTTTCACAGATTATTGAATGCTCACTCATCTTTTCATATAATTACTCATTCACCACTCGTCTCTTCAAATAATTGGGCGACTTTTACGGCAAATTTTCGACAACTTCCGACCACAAAGAATGTCGAATTTGGATACCGTTGGAAAGTCCGCGATATCCTCTTCAATTACCACCCAAAATCTCATTATAACTCCAAGGGATTCGATCGAAAAATTGCCTTAAAAGTTGTCCAAAAATTTTGAAAATCTGCCCAGATTTTCAGATTTTTTAGGCGACTTTTAAGGCAATTTTTCGACAACTTTCGACCATCAAAACTATCTAATTTTGATACCATTGGAAAGCCCACAATGTCCTCTTCAATTACCATCCAAAATTTTCCCATAACACCAAAGGATTCGGTCGGAATAAACCTACAAAATCAGCATCTTGAAAAGGCAAAAATCTGGACAAAATTCGGGACGCTGACTTTGTGGGTTTATTCCGACCGAATCCTTTGGAGTTATCGGGAAATTTTGGGTGGTAATTGAAGAGGACATTGTGGGCTTTCCAATGATATCAAAATTAGATAGTTTTGATGGTCGAAAGTTGCCGAAAAATTGCCTTAAAAGTCGCCTAAAAAATCTGAAAATCTGGGCAGATTTTCAGATTTTTTGGACGATTTTTAAGGCAATTTTTCGATCGAATCCCTTGGAGTTATAATGAGATTTTGAGTGGTAATTGAAGAGGATATCGTGGGCTTTCCAACGGTATCAAAATTCGACATTCTTTGTGTTCGGAAGTTGTCGAAAATTTGCCGTAAAAATAGCCCAATTATTTGAAGAGACGAGTGGTGAATGAGTAATTATATGAAAAGATGAGTGAGCATTCAGTAATATGTGAAAGATAAGTGAGCAAGTAGTAATCAAGTGTAAAGTTCAGTGATTATTGGTTAAATTTACTCGCCAAATAAAGCAGCAAAATAAAATAGAACTGCAAACCGCCAAATTCACAAATTGAAGGACTAATCATTGTTCTAGCTCGAGCTAATATTTGGTAAATCAGTTGCATTATCTGCAGATTTTTTGGAGGACAGAGTCTCATGAGGAAATATAAAAGTCGAGCTAATATTTCAGTGCTCTGGTAATAAAAAAAAGGGGAAGTATGCTTCAACTTTTAGAGATTATGAAAGGTGGTCTGACTATAGATAAGGCGTCATTTTTTCCTTTATCAATCCTAAAAAGTTGAACATTTCATAGCAATGAAGTTTCATTTGATGAGAACGAAGTTTCAAGAAATAAAAAGGTGACACAAGACTCCACAAGGAAATTGGTAAGAGCATCTTATTTTATTTTGGCATAGTAAGAGATTCTAGAGAAGGTGAAAAAGAGTTAAGACTCTCACATCAATTGATCCAAAATTTTCTACGCCTCATGGTTTCCACAGATCATAGTTAAGACTCACATGGTGGGCCATCTGAAAATTAAATAAGAGGTCCAGTAAATGACATAGATATTGACATTCGAGACAGCCATTTAGCTATTATCATTGCAACCTCAAAAAACTGCTCTAGGCATCAGAATCCATTACCATGTGAATAAGCTCTCATCCATGGAAGTTGGACCCGTCAGCAAATATGTCAAGGAATTGCAAGCATTTACAAGAACAGGTCATCTAAAGATAATTCTCTAGTACTTTAGCTACCAATTCTCCAAAATACAAAAGGTTGCATTGAGAGTTTGAGTTGGTGCAGTAAGCATCAAAATTCTTGAAATTCAATGCTAATCACTACGATTAAATTGGCAGAGATATATCATTCACTCGAATGCTTGCGGATAAGAAGTCTCGAGGTTACCGATAACAAAAATTAAGAAAAACCCAGTAAGAAGAGTGAATCTGAAAATGATGAGAAGTTCGACCGCAAGAAATACATTGTAGAAAAAATTATCCTTGATTTCCATTCCTTTTACCGAACACAGCATTTCTCTATGAGTTTCTTTTCTTCAGTGTTTATTCACAATTCTTTTATTGGCTGGGCGAGAGGGGGCTGATGTAGAGGGTGGAGAGATTTGTGAATAAAAAGTCTAGTTCGGGGAATTGATTTAATTATATCTAAGACCAAGACAATCTGATTTTATTCAGAGGAACTCCAAGTAATAGCTACCAAGTGACGATGACGATGACAATAGACCCTCTTAAAAAGCACTAGAATTGAAGGAGAAGAGGAAGAACGAAGAAGGAGAAATACAGGGGGAAAAGAGGGAGAAGAAGAAGAAGAAGAGCAATTAAGAGAGAAAATATGGTTTATTCAATTCATCAAAAGCCCAACTCTTATTTATAGTTGAAATCTTGACCAAACAAGAAAATAAAATAAAATACATAAAAATATTGCCTAATTGCTTTTTCGAATATAACCATCGAATTTTTGGTAATATTGCAATATAATATCATTAAGGATCTCCATCACCAAGTCAAAGGATAGAGACATAAGATCATAGCATCACATGAAAATATCTTGAGTGACAATTTCGTCAATAAAGTTCTTTAAAGAAATGCCTTGCCTAACATTCATTTTATTGCTTGCTTTATTTTATGTCAACTATCTAATTTCTCCATATCTGGCATGTTTTTTCTACACCAACATAGACAAGAATCTAACAAGTTGACGAACTGATAGCAGCTGCATATTTTTTAACGAACGAAAGCTCAAGGATACGAAAATTTAGGTTATAAGATTTTTACTACTGCACATCCTCCATTAATCCAAGATGAAAATTTTAGCTTAGATAACTGGAAACCAGCAACCACTCTTATCAATTCGGTATCCAATTTGATGGATTCCAGGATTCCTGCAAGTACAATATATACGATCTATAACATAGACATGGTATCCATCAATTGAAATCGTCCACGAACAACCAAGTGAAAAATCCATGACCAGTCCAAACTCTTAAGGAAAATATTAAAAGTCCCATAAAATGAACATTAAAGAACGCCGGCCATAAAGGTAGAACTTCCTGGGGCTTTTTTATATTTTTCGCTATTCACAGATTCTTCCGATTTCACACCCAACTTTTTCCTTTATACCACATCAGATAAGTCTTTTATTCTCATCTAAAGTTAACACTTTTCTACCAAAACAAAGTTACATTTTATCTTCCTAACAAATCACCCAGCCCTTTTGGCCGTATGCCATCAATAATTGACACAGCCAATACGTATAGAAACTGAACATGAAAAATCAAAACGTTATTAAACAACTTACTTGATTTGATCGCCAGTCCAGCAACTTAAAAAGAATTACCGTACTTTTTAAGCACAGTAAAAGTTGGTTAATCCCCAGATGAGTTCGCAAGAAACTTAAAAGAATGATTTTTTATTTTTTTTATTTTTGATAGGTAAAAAAGATGAATTTACAGAATTCAAAATTCATAAAGATTAAGACTTGAATATATATGACTGATTACTTACTTGTTTCCTTTAATCTTGAACCAAGCCTCAGCACATTGATTGTGAGCAGCAGCCAAATCACCTTTACAAGAACAACCCAATTCAATGGGTAAACCAGAGTCTTGATTGGCTGCATCCAAGCTCAGATGACAAATTCTACAATCCCTAATAATCTTGAACAAATGCAGCCTGCTTTCTGGTGGACCATCTTTCAGATCCACCACCTCCACCTCCACTGAACACTCTGACACATTCGATTCTCTTCTCTTACTGTTTTCATCAATACTAGTATTTTCAGAAATACTCACAATCTCACTTCCACAAGGGCTTGATGTAGAATGGTCATTTGCATTAGAGGAGTTTGAGCTGCCGCCTACACCGCCGCCGCCATCGTTTCCACCGCGATTAAAACTAGCGGCCTCTAAATCTACATTATCAAGGGACTTGTGTAAACTTGTCATTTTTACAGAAGCCCAGATAAAGAATCTTCATGTAGAGGAAAAATCAGACCGAGATCATTTATAGACAGAAACACTAGTGCACTCGATGAGCCTACAGTAAACTGCTCGTATATGAAGAGAGTCTCTGCTCCAAAACCCAATTTCTGCCTTGGCTGAAAAATCTAACATCTTTATTTATGTACTAGCAGATACTTATACGTAATTAAACATGGTTGGATATACTGTAGGACGAATAAATTGCTAAAGCAGCCTCATAATGAAAAGGAAGTAAATTTCTTTAAAAAGGTTCACGGGGTTTAGGGGTAAAAAAATAAAGTTTTGCTTTGTCTAATTTGCAATAGACATGACGTGTATACTGTGTCATGTGGTAGCGGGCCTGCCCTGAATTCGACACTTCAGGTTAGTCGAGGCAAGATTCTTGATAGTGGCAGATTACAATATATGTCAAAAATGACGAATATAAAGAGTATTTATTGAGAAGATCATCTCTAGTATTTATAAATTTATATTCGTTATGAGATGTTCAAAAAACAAAAAAATGTAGTTTTTATTTGTAAAAAATAAATTTCTAACTTTTGAAATAATATTTTGCTTAAATATGTTTTCTAGATAAAATTATACAAAAGCTATAAATTCACAGGGAATCTGCCCACAAGTTAAGATTTAATGCGTGGCATGGGCACATGTGACTCATAATCTTGCCTTAACATTTTTCCAATATTCTTTGTAATTAAATAAGAATTTTGTAACTCTATACAAAATTTCTTTAAAAATTCAATAGAAACTCTGGTTTCAAAACGAAAAACTTGGTTACAACTTATTCGTATGACATTATATATGATGAGATTTCAACTGTTTTCAGAAAAAATAATTAATAATAAAATTTCACTTGCATTTTTATATCTTCATATAATGAAAATTAATATGATGTTACACGTGAAATGTGATGAAATTTAAAAATATCGCCGAAAATCACCGCGATGGGAGTTGAGCGACTTAGGGACTTTCTCTCTTCCTTTGGGGAGAGAAGGGCCTATTCATCGTTCATAAATCGAGCTATCCCCACCCCGAGCTGCTCATTTACAAAATCCCAGAGGTCAGTTTGACTTATTGCGTGCATATCCATACAAGACCCGAGTTCCCACTACCGGACGATTTGGGATTGAGATGGGGTCAAATGGGTTCCCACTTCATCTCGGCAGTTAGCGGAGCAGGCATTGCTTGGTTCCCGAATGGGGCTTCTGCCTATATCTCTCATGGAATTCATTTGGCATTCAACTCGAAAGGTAGCCTAAGCATGTAGAGGAGAATAGGTAGATGCTCTTGAGCCACCAATATAAGGTTAAAAGAAGGAGATGGATGTGCAATTGTGAAAGAAGATTGACGCGAACCCAGTCTATGACAATAACAATGTTTGGGTAAACATGTCCAATCGCTCTTCTTCCTGATGAGATCCGATTTCGATTTTGATATCTAAAAAAGAATCGATTTCATTCAATGTTTGATTCAAAGAAGAATGCAAAGTAGGCCTTGCTTTCTATTTTGGGAAAATCGCAACCACGATACCAAATTTATCACTTTTCTGCAAATTTGACCCAAATCTTTAATTTGTATCAACTTTTCAAAAACTCACTTGAAGTTCAAATGGATGATTTCTATTAGTTTGAGCGTTATTTGACTTTTGACTAGAGAATTCACATTGATCAAATTTTTGAATAATTTTAAAATGTTAAAATTGTAACTTTACATTTTTTTTCAACAAAAAAACATAATTATAATATATTAATAATTAAATTAAAAAAACATAAATCAAAACAAAAACCGTCCACCACCCTTCCCTTCTTTCCCAAGTCCCAATCCATTATCCTAAAACCACCACCAGCAATCGACGCCACCACACCCACCCAGAGCCGGTCCTGTGTCTAATGGGCCCTGAGGCGAACGATGAAAAGTAGGCCCCCCAGCGACAAAATTCAAAGGTGTATTATGCGACTCATTGCTAACTTAAAAAACTAACATTAAAATAACAACGAAATATATCATAGAAACGATTTATATTATAAACCATCAAACCAAAAATTTCAAACAATTAGTTAAATACTATTCGTCTTGCTGTTTTAGAGGCAAAAATATCAATCAAATCTGAATAACTTAACTGCTCAACCATTTCTTTTTCTATTGATAACATAGCCAATCCGTTTAATCTTTCTTGCGACATAGTTGATCGGAGATAGGTCTTGATCAACTTTAATTTTGAGAAACTTCTTTCCGCAGATGCAACTGTAACCGGTATGGTTAACAAAATTTGGTAAGCAGTATAAGCATTTGGAAAACAAACATCCAATGTCTTCAAATATTGTAGCACTTCAATTGCTCTTGTTGCTTCACTTGGTATATAACATCTCAAGACTTGTAATTCCAAACATAAATCATCTCCACTAATATCCGAACGCCCATTATGTTGAAGATATTTCTCAAGATTTAAACAAGATTTCAACAAACTTGAAAAAGTTGCATCCCTTAACCTCTTCAAACTAAACAAAAATCCAAATGTATCATCATATTGTTTGAATTGTTCAAATCGAGTCCTCATAGAAGATAGAGCTTAATCAATTATAAAAATAAAGTACTCAACTCTAAAAGATTCTTCTGCTGATTGTTTTACCTCATCACTACCGCTTTCATCAAATTGTTTTTTCTTCAAATTATGCGTTTTTCTGTAAATACAGCTTCAATTCCCATTTCGCTTGCCTTTTTTGTCGCTTCATCTTTGGCAATAGCAAATCCAATTTCTCTATATTCTTCAAGAAATGAAACAAGCCCTTGCAAGAGGTCAATAGCATGATCAATATCCATGGATTCGGTTTGAAGAAATTTACTCACAATATTGACAGCATGCAACAATCTGTACTAGATTATCATGCCAAACAAAAACTCAAAATTTTGAAGTTCATGTATTGCTAATGACTCGGCTTCACTCTTCACTTTAGGTTCTTCATTACTTTCTGCTAAATCAAGTAATGCATATCTTATCTGTGCAGTTTGCTCCATTATAGGCTTCACACTTTCAACATGACTTTCCCAACGTGTTTGTGACAATGGCTTCACTGTCGACCCTTGTACATTATCTTTGAAAATTTTCCATCGCTTGGTAGAAGAGGAAAATAATGTGTAGATGCGTTGTATCACTCCGAAGAAGGATACAGCTTTGGAACAACAGTTCACCATATCACATAATGCCAGATTTAGACTATGAGCGCCACATGGAGTATAGAAAGCTCGGGGATTCATTTCATGGACCCTTCTTTGTACACCTTTGTGCTTCCCGCTCATGTTAGATCCGTTGTCATACCCTTGCCCTCTAATGTCATCAATATCGAGATCAATTTTTATCAAAGCCTTTTGAAGCTCGGTTGCAAGTCCAAGTCCTGTTGTGTCATCTACCTTCAAAAATTCTAGCCAATGTTCTTGAACTGTAGGTAAGTTTGCCGAATTATCTACAAATCGTACAATTAAAGACATTTGCACCTCCTGACTTGCATCTGGAGTACAATCAAGTATAACTGCGAAATATTTTGCATCTTTAACTTTCTTGACAATTGAACTTCTCACTTGATTAGCCAACAACTGTATCAACTCATTTTGAATTTTTTTGCCAAGATATGTTTATTGAATCTCTTTTGCTTTAGCCCGCTGAAGGTGCTCTTGCATTATTGGATCAAATTCACTAACCATTTCGACCATTTGTAAAAATAGGCCATTGTTCTCAACATGTAGCCTCTCATCATCTCCTCGAAATGGCAATGTGTTTTTCGCAAGTTTTTTAACAATAGCGATTATCCTTTTTAATACATGTCTCCAATATTCTCTTTCAGCATCAATCAACAATTCAATGCTTTTATCAATTGTAGTTTTTGATCGAAACCTATTTTCCAATTCAATCCAACTAGTCATGCAACGTAAATGCTCCTCATTTCCTTCATGACTTTTAACAGACCGATGCAAATTATGCCAATCTTTGAATCCTTCATTACCTAGTTGGCCAACTTTTGTCACATTTATTGGTGTTTTGAACAACTTGCAACAAAAGCAGAAGATCCTGTCCATAGATATTGAATATAGTAGCCATCTTCTATCAACTGTTTTCCCATTTGGTAGCAATCGCTTATATTGTGAAGAATCGAAATGTCTATTTGAATAGTCTTTCGGAAATGAGATGTCATCAACTCTTTTTGGACCCCTTTCAACTAAGTAATCCCTTGTTCTTTGATCAATAATTTTCCAATTCTCAGGATCATTCAAATTTAGAGAAAAGCAACCCTCTTCTTCCTTATCATCTTCTTCATTATTAGAGGCGGGCTTCATTACTTCTTCTTCCTTATCATCTACTTCGTTAACATCGGTAGGTTGACTCACTTCTTCATCCTTATCATCTACTTCATTAACATGGGCATGTTGAATCTCTACTTCATCCTCATTCAACACATTCACATTGTTGCTTTTGAAGTACTTGTTAATATCCCCTGCTTGACTTTGAATTAATGCAATTTCATTTCATTTCCTTTTCCTCTTTTGAGCACTAGACTCGTGTTTAGGAGGCATAGTCTATGAGTGAATATCTAATATCCAATGATTAACCTAAAAAACAATTACACAATATCTCAATCATCTCACAATTATAGTTTCAAATATAGTTACTACGTGCGCCTGTGCAATTGTTTATCGTACAATAAGCAATCATATAAGCTGACCAGGCTGCAATTATATAAGCCGACAAGGTTTCAAACATTTCCAATATCTTCAATAACAAGTCAGGGCAAGCCATTACTTACTTGAGAAGTGGAATTTTGATGAAAATTGTGGAATTACACCGTTGAGAATGATCCCATTTTCTGAATTAGGAGTAAGCAGATCGCAATTTTAAAAATTTTAATAATAGCTCCAAGTGCATTCACAATGGCTCCTACAAATTGAGACAGAGAAATCTCTTAGAATCAACTAAAATTAAGGGGGTAAAATTAAGAAAAAAGAAAGCAAGACAATTAAAATACCATAATCCGCATTCTATAGACATCAAAGTTGTTCTGCCATCTGATTAAATGAAGGATCTTTTGCTATCTGTTTAGCTAATTCCTTGATGCTTGGATCCTGTACAGGCACAGAGTAAAGAATTTAAGAAAATAAATGACCTGCAAGTGCTGCAAAAAGAACCATTTACTGTGTATGCTAGTAATGTCACTCTCACGCATACACGAATATTTTGTCACATTATATACCA